TGAGGGCGACGATCGGCAGGTAGCCACGAGCCAACTTGAGCTGCTGGAATCTTTGCCGGGCATCCAAGTAGGTGGCATAGGCGTGGTCATACTCTTCGGCCAACTCTTGAGGATCTTCGGACAGGTCATGGTGTTCTCCAGGTTCATCCTCTTCGCCGTAGTAGATGACGTCATAGTCAAAGTCAGCCTCATCGTCAGGGGCAGTGTCATTATACCAGTCGTCGGCCTCATAGTAGGCGTCTTCTGTCCAGGGTTGCTCGGACCAGTAGGCATCTTCTTCATCGAATGCGGCGTAGCCGCGGCCCTTCCAGCGGTTGAACTTTCGATCACGTTCAGCATTCCAGCCGCCTGCTTTGTAGTCCTAACCGAACAGCAGGTACAGGGCTTCGATGACAGGATTTTTTTCCAACGTAGGAGCCTTCAGCGTCACCATTTGGCGTTGCTCCTTTGACAAAGCAGCACGTCGGAGTAGATGCCATCCTTGAACCTGGATTGGAAGAGTCACATTATGGGCAGTCAAACGACGATAGGCGGTGTCATGGTCGGTGACGAAGGACAGGAGGCTTTGCTGTGGCTTCCTTTGCAACAAGTTGAAGTACTCCTCAAAGTCATTCGGAAGGAGCACACGATCGTCATACTCGAAGTTCTTGTCGAGCTTGGTGATAATCTTGCTAAAGCCATCCTCTTTCTCAACCTCTTCAATTGAGAAGTCCTCGAACAACCGCCACGGCCCACCCTAAAAACTTCCCAGGATGTTCAGGACGGACTCGGCTAAACGCTTGCTGATCTTCATCTTGTGGTGGTAGAGCATCAGCCTCTTTCTGTACTCTTTGTAGTCCTAGGGTTGTCCATTGAACAATAGAACGAAGGAATCGCGCAGGTTAAGGTAATCACCATCCTTGGAACCTTCTGCAGCCGATGTCGTTGGTGGCATTCTCAAACAAGTAGCCAAGACCGAAAGGGCTCTTCAACGAGGAAACAAAAGAGCTCGACCAAGGATTCGTAACAAAGGATTTATACAAAACCTCGTTCTTCTCCGCGCAAAGGATTCGGAGCCCCCCGGAGGAGGCTCCGCTACCAATGCGAAAAAAGTAACAACGGCACCCGAAGTCCGCAAACACGAAAACAAAAGGGCGCACTAAAGCGCCGCGGCCGCGTCTTTTACAAGGCAACTGCCCTCCCAATCTTAAGAGGGAACGACGGTAAATGAAGGTCGGAAACAGTTCGAATTGCCAAAACACAACTGCACAACGTAAATTTTACACAATTATATATTCCATGATTGTATTTATCTATCCCATTTCCATCCATCCATCCATCCATGTATTTCCATTTATCCATAATCATCCATCCAACCTTTTCAAAAATCGATAAGAAATATTATAATGTATTATATTTATATCATTATTTTTTATAAACCAATTAATTCAACCTAAAATAAACCTCAACCAACATTCCAAATATACTAAAGAATACAAATAACAATCATATAAATACATCTTTCTTATAAATATCTTTAAATATCTATTATATACTTAATTTAATTCATTTAAAGTTATATCATATTTTATATCATCGAGTTTTTAACAAATCATATACCATGCTTCTCAATTAAAGATACAATTTTTTATAGAATAAATAAAATCCAATAATATATTAAATAAATAATATTATTTCTAGTTATAGCATTTAATAAAAATACATTATATTTATTAATTATTTCATTAATTCATTATAAAAAATACATCTTTAAAATATTTTAATTATATTCATTAATCGCCTCCCTAAATTCTACAAATAATCTCTATAACCCGATTAACAAAAAAAATAACCGAACAAATAACGATTCAATATATATTAGTCCAAACGAATCGATTTTAAATTATTCCTATAAATATTATATCATTAGCATTATTATTACCTCACGATAAAGCGAAATTATCATTGAATCATTGCCGATATTGTTAATATTTTTAATTGTTGTTAATATTAATTTCCCACATAGTTTATTATTGGAATTCTATCTTAGAAAAACAGAGCTAGCCACACTCATTGGCCGCGCCCCTAAATTCTGTGGCTGGACTCTGTGTCCAGGCCTTATCCGCCAAGCTTGTGGAACCACAATGTAGTCTCATCTTGCCTGCTGTCCTGTGTATACGTATAGGACAACGATAAAGATCTTCAAAACATTAACTATATTGTAATATAATGACCCCCTACCTTAGACCCCCCCTACGTCCACATACCTAGCAATCCGGCCAGGGGCCCCGACCTGGCCGCGTCATTGCCTCCTTTCCGAAGGAGAGAGGGGAGTCCCGCCCCAGCCGCCGACCCCCCGGCGAACCATGCAGAATACTGTGTTTTACAGTGTTTTCTACTTCTTCCACTTTTCCGTCTTTGTGGCTCAAAATGGGCCAACATAAGCCGAAAATAGGCCCAAATAATGCTGGAAATAACTGCCTCACCGGGGTGCTTCGTCTGCATCGTGGACGGCTACTGGGCTAACAACAACAACAACAACCATCCCCACAACCACCCCCACAACACCCACGTCCAACCACCACCACCACAACCACAAGAACGACAAGAACAAGAACAAGAACAACAACAACAACAACCACAACAACAACAACGACCAGAACACTACCACGACTGCAACAAGCCCTTTGCTTGGGCCCCTGGCCGGCTGTCGGGCGTAAGCCCTTAAATAATTAGTAATTATTCCACTAGCCTTGGACATACATACATGTTATTCATTCAGGATGTGCACCTGATGCAGGAATATTTTCTGTCATTAGGCTCAAATCGTGGAACAGATCCAAGACAGGCTCGAAAAGCTTCGATAGTAGCTTCGATCATGTAAATATTATTCCAGTGTTAGTTGACATGAAATTATTCCATTTGAGTCTCAACATAAAGAGACCCCCTGCAAAAAATATTCCACTATGTGACATGCCCCCCTGGAATAAATATTTAAGGGAGGGGCCATGTAATATATATATAGGGATATTCGGAGTCGAAGTGTGCGTTTGCATCGTCTTCCCCTCAATCTGTACCAGCCCGAGTGTGTGCAAGATGTCGCAAACTTGGAGAATCGACGAGCTGCAAAGTCCTTTTTTGTTCCTGAGCAACTGCGGGTGTACCACACATGGCGATTTCAGAAGCATCTGGCTTCAAACGCTTGGCCTCACTTGGCCACTTGACTTCACTCCGCAGTCTCTGGAGACCAGAGCTCGGGTGGCTGGGCCTCTGTAGCAAATCGATGCAGCATGTTTATCGATGCCGTCGAAGAGTGGAGGCAACCAATTGGGCCATGGATCAACGTGGCACCGGCGATCACCTCTTGGTCGGTTCCACCCAGAAATGCCTTCCACCGTGACAATGAGTGAAGCAAACATCCAGCTAGCAAAAAACGAACACCACCAAAGACCATCAACCTTCACATCACCAAGATCTTCCTCTAGGTCACCTATCCATGATCATCCGAAGTCATCCATGACCCTTGGTATAGCACCTCACCAAAACGTCGTCTTCCGGTCGTCGCGGGGCCCGGTGAGCTGATCTCCTCACCGTTCTTCGCCCCGCTGCACGTACCGAGTTCTACGGTGGAGATTCCCATGTTGCATGCCGCAACCAGCCCGAAACTCAACATCTTCGAACATGCACTCGGTGCATTCGGGGCGGAAACGCATGAACGGTGAGAACGCACTGAGGGGCGGGTGAAGTCTTCCCATGGGGACGTGGTGTCCCCGTGCGACTTGAAAAATGAACCGATACGACGTGAACCAACTACTAATCAGTATCGTCTTCTGAACACTGTCCTATGACTTGCCAAATCTGAATATTCTGAATTGGTACAAAGCACGATAAGAAGAGAGCAGCCCACAGAACTAGATTGGATGATAAAGGAACAAATGAAAGGTGACTAGGGAAGATCTGCTAAAAACCCGCCTCAGCATTTAGTGATAATATTGTATATGTCATATTTTGTAATTCGTTGGCATCCGGTTTCATCCGGTCATCGGCATCCGGTGATTGATGCGAAAAGAAGTGAACAGATTGGTGCAGTTTCAAACATATAACTTTTGGACACTGGGAAGTGAGGAATCCGTTCAAAGCCAACAAAAACGGCCACTTTTCATACGGATTCCGAAGCCGACAAGAACAGGCCCTACCGACTTACCAAACCATCCATGGACCTAAGAGGTGGCAATAGATCCTTCGGACCTATGATACTTTGTGGTTTGAAACTCACAAAGGAGTATGTGCAAGCGCAAGAACCTCCCCAAACCATGCAGGGTGCAAAGCATCAAACATGTGGCCAGGCCCACCCTAGAGGTGATACTGACTGGTGGGCCTACTCTGGATCAGAAATGAGCCCCCCTTATCATGCAGACGGTTGATGAACCCCAACGTGTCCAGTTGTGGTACTCATCAACAATCGAGATCTTCAGACCGCCTATGGCCGTCGAAACCGCTCGAAACCGTGTCCGCCCTTGTCGTGTGATGAAACAGGTGTACGGCATGGAGATCTCATGTGACTTCAATGTTTTTTTCAAGGCCAGTGCGAAAGCAAAGAAACTTTGCTTGGGAATCCTTGCGAATTACAGTCTCAATTGGTTTTCAGAAAGTTCAAGGCACCTTCAGTGCATGAAGCGAATTTTCTGCGGTCGTCTTGACCCATCTAACAGCAAACGAGATCTATAATCACACAGGGGTCCACATACCCCGTGATCAGAACACCCAAACCCTGTGAGCGAAGCTTGTACTTCGCACGCGGGTCTGTTTCATGGCTCAGTCATCAAAAGAACCAGTGTCATGATGATACATGGATTGATCTCCTGCTTCATGTCCACGATGAAATTCTCGGACAACGGGTGTGATGTGTTCCATCAAATTCCTCTTCCACCGGACTCCGGCAGACTCTGGCATACTCTGGCTCTTCTGGGTTTCTGGCCATGTGATGAAAAATCATCACCTGATGAAAGATCACCCGATGATCATCCCTTCAAATCTTTGTTGAAGGGGTCGAAGAAGTCGATCAGCCGGTGAATCCTCGGGTGATCCGCTGCCCACGAGCAGAACGTGACGGGTAGCCCTGAGACACGGACATGTTCTGATAGCAGTGTCCAGCACCAAGCATGCCTGGGACACGCGCAGCAATGACAAAAAGAGAAGAACACACATGTGCACTATTTTTTGTGCGCCCTGCCTGGGATCTCTGTGGTATCCTTAGGCTATGCAACATGAACTGCAGGCTTAGCTGAACCAATATTCAAAGTAAACAGTGAAGAAATCGGTCTGCCGTTCTTCACAAGGATGAGAGCTGCCACACTTTCTCAATCAAATCGGACATCTTTGCATACTTCATGCACTTTGAAGCTTCAGGACCCAGTGCAGTTCAGCTGCTGCAACACAACGAGAGTACATCCGACATCGTCCCACATTGATATAGCTGTGCTGCCCAAAGCGCGCCTCGTCTTTATGCGTTGAGCAATGAGCAACTGAAGCTCGGAAACCCAGCAGAGCCATGCCGGGCTAGGGGCACTTTAGCTGGACAAGCATGGGCTAGACATACCTGCCTTAGCCTCACCTTTGAAGGTGGACCTGCTTTATCATGTTTCTGGTGACGTCCTCTGCACCAGTCGCCAGCTTTCAACAAAACATTCTGAGGCGCTCACATTGCCACAACGTTGGCCCACAGCAACCTCATAAAGACAAGATAAACGGCAAATAATCACTGACAAGCTGCATAACTTATCCAACTGTAAAGGAAGCAGGGGACGCCCAATCAACTGACGATTTTATTATACATACCCTAAGTCCAAAGACCATGTTTTGCACCACGGCAGTAAAGGACATGCCTTTTCAGACATATCAGCGAAAGACCATTTATATATTAAAATATATAGTGATCCCCAAATAGATAGAACATGATAGTGGCACGATGTCACATATTTTGTGGGGATCTACTTTTCCATCTATTTGGGGCCACGGGACGGAGTCCCTCACGAGTCCAGCGTGGGACCCTGAAATCGCTCGACCGCGCGACCGGATCGCGCGGTACTGGGCCCCACGGACGATCTTCGCTTGGCAGGTGGCCGTCCGTGTGGGACAGCCCTTGGGACGACAATGTGTGTTTTTCGCCGCTTTCTCTGATGGGAAAAGAAAAGACCTGAGGAAAAATGAAGATCATAGGCAAAACATGGAAACACCTGCTGAATCCTGCTGATATATGCCATGGTATACCTGTCTTCCAACAACATTTCGATGGTTTCTTTTTGTTCTTTTGAAGTTTGAGCTTTCGGCAACAAATCATCTAAGACGTACGAGGCTCGCACGTTGAAGCTGTCCATGTAACAACCAAGCCATGGAGCCTGTACGTCCACACAGTCCATGCGACACCGTGTCATCCCGTCGTCTGGCAGAACTTCACGGTCCAAGGGGTGCTTGGAACACCTATAGAGTAACAGCATTTGTGGCTAATAGCAATGGCCTGCAACCGACTATAGCGATGGCTACCCCTCTTTTTTGGGACAACTGTTGCTGAAGTCAGAATGGGGAATGGGCGTAATGTCTCTTTGATACCTTCTTACGCCCTAGCAACGACGCCAGGCGTGTTGTAGCTACAGGTTTTTGACACGTGAACCAAAAAAACAAGCCTTTCAAAGTAGCCATATCTTTGTCTAAACCGGGTGGACACGATGACCAAGAACTGAAGAAAAGCTACACTGCGCACACTGCAAGGGCTGCAAACAAAGCAAGCATCTTGCAGCATTGCTCCACGACGTCCTCAAATCTCTATCAAATCCACAATTTTCTCTAACATGTTTGCAATGGGCTATATTTGCCACAATCTCAAAATGGAACACCTACTGAGTGGTATAGTATATACCCTTCCTTTTTGCAAAACAAATGCTCATATTCACGAAAAAACCGCCCAGAAACACGCCCCATACGCGTGGTCCGCAGCAGAAACACCATGGGTCGTGGCTCCCAAAGCAGCGTCATTTGGGGTCGGGTCTCCCTCCAGTCGCTGCAGTCTGGGGCTCCGGGCACAAGGCTTTCCATCAAGCCCCAGGCCGGTGATCGAGCTGCACATCCCATTCTCCATGGTGTAGTCCAGCAGATTCGCGGCTGAGGAAACAAGATCCGGAGCCGAATATCCGTGGTGGTTTGGTGAGTCAAACTGCTTCTCAGTGTTGGGACCTGATGTTTGAGATATGTTGAACATTTTTGGACTATCCAAATATGACCAATGTGACGGGTTGCCAAATGAGGCGAACCGGGCATGAGAGCTGTGCAATTAGATTCTCATCCAACAAGGTACGAGTTGGTTTCGGACGCATCCCGTCCAACGTGCATCTTGTGAAGCAACCGAGCATGTTTGCCAACTGAAAACGCAACCGGCAACACCAAGTCAGTCTGCTTAAGGTTTCCCATCCCACCTTTCCAATTTGCAGCGTCTGCCATCTGATCTGCCTCAGCCAGGTCATCGAACCATCACACACCATCGAACTGTTGCACCGGTGTTGTCATTCCCGCCTGCGCCAATGGGTATATCGAAGAAGGTGAAGGAGCGCTCTGTGTTGCGTGCACATCGAAAGTCTCCGGATCGTCAACAAACTCATGCACCGGAGAGTACTGATCATGAGCAGTTGGGTCCGGTGCGAGCTGAACTTTGGAGATCTCGGTCACGACCAAGTCTTCAGATGTATGAGCTGGGAGCTGAGACACAGGATCTGGGTGACTGCCACGGAAACTCGCAGCTGTATGGCAGATGTAGGAGAGGCCTGCAACGCAAGCAAAAGGGTCTCGGTGCACTCTGACAACTGTCAAAACTTGCCAAAACCCATCCCGGAAATATCCAATTGCGCTAAAACTCCATGGATTTGTGATGACTGACATGTTTGCCCAGAAACGCAAAATTCTATAATTGAGTGCGAATAAAACCTTCGGAACTGTATGAGAGCAGAAAAAAACGCCTATCCTTGCTGTGCCCAAGTGACATTGAAGGTCACTTCGGCAGGTGTACACATCACCATTGTGGCCTTGCGACGACGTTGGTGATAAACAGAACCAGCAAAGGCTCCTTTGGCTGAAACGAAAACGGTTTTCCTCTGGTAGCCAAGAAGCCGTCCCGCAAAACTCTCCTCAGCCGTTCCGTATCCACGCTCTTTGAAACAAGAATCTACGGTCTGCAGTTTCAAACTCCAGAAAAACGCACTGGAAACTGCCAAGTCTCCCAGTTCGGCGATGTAGTTGCGTGGGTTGGCCTGCCAAAACGATGAAGGAACTCTTCAGCGAAGCGGACAACTCTTCGGATGAGCGTCACATGCTTCACCCCTCTGCACAACCCTTGCCGCAACCGGCGCAAACGTTGGTAGAACGAGCCAGCTTGGGAGTTGTTGTATGCCCCCCCTCCACTTGAGCAGCTCTCAAAACCCATGGTATCTGCCTCTGACGTAAGATTCTTCTTACGGCATTGCAAAAGCGCCGCTTACGCGACCACAGTGGCAGCTTACGCTTACGCAGTTCTTGCAAGAAGGGGCTTACGCAACACTCACGCCAAGGAGTTTTAGCACCACAGTAACAGCTTACCCGCTTTGTGTTTTCCAGGCAAAGCACACAATGCCTTTCGAGCAAAATTATCTGGCAGGATGAATTGGCAAACACTGAGTTGCTCTCTTGGCTGGGCAGTGAGCGGCAAGAGTTCATAAATGGTTTGGCTTTGTGTGTCTTTCAAGGCAAAACAGGCTGACGCGCGGCTTAGGCGGAGCTTACGCAGACCATTTGACAAGCCACCCCCTAAACATGAAGAGGGAAAGATCTTAGAGTCCCTCCACTTGATACTTCAATTAATTTCACCCCATTTCACCCCCTAGGCCTGGTCGGCATGTGGAAAGAGCGTGCCCGGCTTCTCGACTCCGTCGAAGGCGTCGGGGCAGGCGGGCGCGAAGGCGGGGGGCCCGTGGAAGAGCTTCGTGAGCCAGGACCAAAAGGACCAAAAAGGCCCAAAGCCATGAAAATCACAACGGAGTTGATCATGGCATGATTGTTGAAGCTTCCAAGACTTCCAAAGCTCGTAACAGAAGATCTGTAGTGTGCCTCCATTCCACAGGCTCACAAGTGGCTGTGGAAGCAATTGAAGCAGACTTTGAACCATCTTGGTGGCATGGTCGATGAATCCCGGCCACACTTTGTCGATTTGATTCGCAATGATACCACTGGTGTTCTTGATGTTCTGCCAGGCATCTGCCAGAAAACCCGTGACCCCAGGCTGGTATGCCAACGAACCGGTGGCCAAAAAGCTTGCTGCATTGCAACTAGACATTTCCAGCCCACCTTCCTGAGCCTTCATCAGTGAAGTCGAAATAGATCCTTCAGGTGACAGGTGGCTGTAAGTCCAAAGGACAAGGGCGTGGGACAAGGGATGACTTACGCTTAAAGCTAAAGCATGATTCTAAAATATTCTAAAGAAGAAGGTGTTCAAAACCATTGAAGGAAACGCGTGTTACCCGAAGACACCTGAAGCAAATTTTTCAAAGCGACCGAAGCGAGTCAACGCTCCTTGCGCCAGCAACTTCGCATCTGCATCCACCTGTGGAGTGAAGGTCACAGCAATGCCTATAGAGAGCACCTGAAACTGGACTCGGACACCCAAGCGTACTGTGAACGTCACGGGTGATCCTGAATTGATGTTGACTTCCAGTTTGGTAGACACTTCTGCCGTCTGCCCCTCGCGCGACCCGTGCAAGCCCTTGTTCCACTCGATAGAACCTGATAGACTGGTGACCCACTTCTTCTCAAATTCCACGGCCATCTCCAACTTCTCAGGTGGGATAAGCTCCACAAAGCCCTGGACGCTCACAGCTAAGCCCAAACTGGGAATGGCGAAGGGAATTTCCGGCGCTGGGAATTCCCGCCGTGGCAAGATCTCCCCGAAGGAAGCGGTGAAGGATGCGATCAATGCCACACTCAAGGAGCAATTCAATTGTGCTCGGTAGCCACCAACCACTGGGATCAAAGAAAATGTGAGGTCCTCGGACTTGAACGTTACATCAACTCCTTTTGTGCTGCCCTCGGTGGCATCGCTGTACAGGTTCTGATTCCAGGTTTGCAAGCGCCTTCCCACCAAAGGCTGTAAGTTCAGGAACCCCTGGAAGAGCATGCCGTTCGATGGCAGAATCACTGCACATCGAAAGTAGTTGCCAACCAAGGACCCGGACTTCGGGATGTAGCTTCTTTGGCAATCACAAACGGACGTCAAGAGCCCACATCGTTTCACGTCATCTTCAAAGTCGGGCAGAAATCCGGACAAAATCTCTGCGGCTGCTTTGAATGCATCATCCTCCAGTTTCGACACCCCCGCTCCCAAAATGCCCATGTTGCTGACGATGTTCATGACTCCCGCTTTTTGCTCCACGGGCATCGTGGGGAAGTACTGGTCGAGTCGGGCGTCTACTTGGGCAAATGCTTGAGAGGTTTCTTCAACCACATAGTCAGATACCTTGTTGCCCCACGTGGAAAATTCCGCAAACATCTGGGCGGAGTTCTCTGCCTGCAAAAAAAAGAAACGTCTGCATGTGTAGGCATGTGTAGTTTCGAGCTGGCATCCAACAAACACGTGGCATGACGAGCTGCGTGCTGCCCACTTGCCAGCCCAGAAGCCCAGCCTCTTTGTCTGTTTTCAACCAGTCTATCAACATCCAGATCGGAAAGCCTGGCAGTTGAGACAGCCCATGTGTCAAATCCTTTGTTCCTGTAGTGTCTTTACAAATAACGAAAACATGGATGGGGTGTCCTCTGTTGCCTTTCGTTTCAACCAAGACCCAGGCCGACAAGCAGCAGCAGCAGCAGCAAAAGGCAGCTGCCAATAATGCACCACGATCGGAGCTGTCGACAAAAAAGGACCCACGTTGGTACCTGCGACAGGGAAGGCCATAGTCTTGTGCAAAATGAAGAACGCTTAGTCGATGGTTGTCTTGACATTTTGCCCCCCCAAACCCCAACCTCCGGGGGTGGTTCGCCACCGCCACCTCCAATTGTCACGCGTCCTTCCAGGCCGGTCTCGATCATGGAGGAACGGGGCACAAATGTCCACAGGAAGAGACTGATCTCTTTGTCTTGCTCGCATGTTGGTCGAGTTTTGTACGACACGCAGTTTAATAGTTTGCTTTGGAGTGGCGAAAAAGAAATATCTGGAGAGAAAAATGGTGGGGAATAAGGCCAAACCTATCTATGTAGGCCTATGTCTGAAGCATTGGGCGAAGTGTCCTATATAGTTGGTTCGTTGTTTAACAGAACTTTAAAAGAAACTTGTACAGCGAAAACGTCAAGGTGTTCCTTGGAAAAATTGCAAACTTTATGTCTGTCACTTTTGCTCGTTTTTTTCACTTTATCCACGTTCACTGGAGGGAGGCTTTTTCGGGACTGGCTTTGGAGAAGCAACCGCTTCTGTGGCTTCAGGTGCCACTTTCTTCTCTGTACAATAACTGTTCCACGGCAACCGCTGCAGTGTTGAGCCTCGATGTGCAGTTTGTTTGCATTGTACCAGGCTTTTTGGCCAACATTTTCACAAAATTACACCAGCATAGACCCAGATAGCTAGGCAGAATCCCACGACCTCTTGACCTGCGACTGGCTGGAACAAGAATGTACGCAGCCTGCACAGCCAGCTTACGGCACCTCCACAGCGCGCACAACCAGCTGACACCAGCACCGGTGCGCTTTGCCAGCTGACAACACCGGCAGCGGCGCCAGCACCCGACCAGCGCCGCCGCCTGTCTTAAACGCGCGCTCAGCCAGCTCACAGCACCAGCACCCAGGACCACAACACCAGCACCAGCACCGACACCCTTTCGAAAGCGCGCGCAGCCAGCTCATTTTTATTTGCAGCAAGAGCCCCATAGCTATCTCTATGTGAGGAATAACACCGTAATTATGATCTTGCGCGAATAAGTTTATGCGCACAAAAGTCTGCGCACAAACGGCAAAGCCCGCAGGCTTCACTTGCCCAAGGCCAAGCAGTATCCAGCGCGACTATTGTGTGTGTAGCATGCTGAAACATGCTGAAACAATGGTTGGTTGAGAGCCTGACGTTGCGCATAGAACATTATATACTGTACACAAGTACGCGTGCAAACAGTACAGCCCTTGACACAGCTGTCGGCCAAAACAGCACCTGAAGAGTGTAAATACACCACAGCGCTAATAGACAAAGAACGCTCAAGCAACAACACCGCATGATGTTGCGTGCATAAGTTCATGCGGCCCATGACTGCTGGCACTTCATTGTCAGAAGCGGCGGCTGGTCGCGCTTCACTGCTACAAGTGGCGGTTTGTCACCATTCACTGTGTCAGAAGCGGTGGTTGTTAGCACTTCACTGTCAGAAGCGGGGACAAGCACCGAGCACCGGCGCGCCAGCTCACGGCACCCGGCACCATGCAGCGCCCGGCGCCCAGCACCCGGCACGCTGTCTCCACCACGTGCACAGCCAGCGCCCAGCACTCCACCACGCGCACAGCCAGCTTACAGCACCAGCACCACCACCGGCGCCATGTCTCCACCACGCGCACAGCCAGCACCCAGCACCGGCACCGGCACCCTGTGTTCAGGCACCGGCACCCTGAGTCCGCTCACAGCACCAGCACCGGCACCCGGCGCCCAGCACAGGCACCCTGTCTCCACCACGTGCACAGCCAGCTCACGGCACCCGGCACCCAGCACCCACCTGCGCAGCCAGCTCACAGCACCAGCACCAACACCCACCACCAAGCACCGACACCCTGTCTCGACCACGTGCACAGTGGCACCCGGCACCCAGCACCAGCACCCTGTCTCTACCACGCGCGCAGCCAGCTCGCAGCACCAGCACCGGCACCGGCAACCTGTCTCGAAAGCGCGTGCAGGCAGCTCATTGTTGTTTGAAGTAAGAAACCCATAGCTTCGCTATCTGGGAACTAATGGGATGAACTGGAAATTTGTGCATACAACCTATGTCAGGACACGCAGCCAACCTTGTTTCGAGCACCCCACTATATATAAGCCCGAGGCCAGTCCAGTCACCACATGTCAACCCATAATTATGCTAGAACTCGCATGAACTCGCTTCCATCTCTGCCTTGGGTTGAAAAAAGAAGAGAGTGATTGGTACGTTCAAGCGGTTCGCAAACGATTTCAGGGCCACCGGCCTTTGTTCTGAGCAACCCACAATCAGACGAGCCCTCCGTCACACCCACTCCACGTCTCTCCCGTCAAAGCAAAACCGTTCCTTGGCACCTTCTGGACAGTGGCAGAAAGGAACGGTCTTGACACCCCTTTGCCTTGGCTCCTTCAAAGAACCTCTTCTTCCTTGGCACCTTGTGAGAAGAGATTGTTTGATGAAGAGCTCATGGCTCTTGGTAAGTTCAAGGGCCTAAAGGATTGGAAGGGCCTGGGTGGCCTGGCAACCTCATTGTGGTTTCCCAAAACAAAGGTAGGCTGCATGTCTGGCTTGACATCTAAGGCCCGGAGAAAGTTGTGGGAAGAGTTGGCATCCCAATGTTTGACATGACTTATTGAATAATATGAGTTGCCACGAGCGGCAAACAGTTCATTGGTTTCCCTTTGCATCTCATGGACAATTCCGCTCACTGAAAAACGTAGTGCTGTGCAGCAATCCTTTTTTAGCTCTTTGTGACTGGCCCAATGTCCAGGTGGACAGAAAGAGGAGGCCCAGAAATACTTCTTGGAGAGCAAACTGCCCTGCTGGTATACATCTGTGTATCAACATTTTCGTTGACCAGAGTTTGGGTGTGCCGCCTACATATTGCAAACATTTGTCAAGACTGCCGCTGTTTTCTCCGCCTGGGCCGGCTCAGGTGACGTCAGCGACAAACAAACGATGTCAGCGACCTGTCGGCGCTCCTGTAGGCACGTCATCAGGGCGACGGTACGCAGGCTCCCCGCGGGGCACCTGCGGTCGGCTTTGAACATGATGAGTCGGGGAAGAGAACATCATGTCACACGAAAAACAACAAACATATTGCTAATCAAATAATGTTAATTCCAATATGGTTTGGCTTAGCAGAAAATTAACCTGAAAAGACAGGTCTGGGGCCAACGGATGCGGCTTTGCATCCTGAAAGCAATGAGAAACCTCTTGCATATGCTGACACGGAAATGTGAGAAAGAAAGAAGTAAGCATTGCGAAACGAACGACTGCCTGGGGATCTTAGGCAACTTCGGGAATGCATGACAACATCATACAGTCAAGATCAGAAGTAAACCTCTACCGAATCAATGCTTGAAAAAACTCGCAACTTACCACTCTGAGGAACCTGACCTTTTTTATGCAATGATTGAAGCTGCAAGAGCATTCCACTGAGGGCATCTGGGCCTTCTGGGGACCCGGCTGCGGCCCAATCAACCTGAGGGTCTTTAGATGGTCTCCCCATTTGGCATTGCCCTGCAGGGACCATTTGAGAGCCGTTTGACCACCATCAAGTCTGAATGGCATGCAGTACAAGGGAGGACAAGAGCGCTTTGTTCCGCTGAAGCGGAGGGTGACACCGACAGGAACACGAGGAAGAGGAATCATTTATAGTAGCTCCTTTGCTTCATCCTTGATGGATGGCACAAGCGCCAAAGCTTAAATTCATCTACAAAAAACAAGGACAAAACATGGCGCCCCACTGTTACAAGTGACAGTGGCTTTGTACAATTTGCATCACAAACTGAATATGATTGAATATGTCTGTTTCTCCGTTGTTTTTGCGAAGAACGGAAGGACCCATGTTTGGCCCAAAGAAGGATTCACCAAAGAAGACTGAGCCATGTGGAAGGGCCAATGGATTCATGAAGACTATGAGAATTGTTATGATATGTTATGATCATCGATGCGTTTCGCCAACCAAACTTTCACCCAAACATTTCTTGGCGTGTGACTTCTTTTGACGTTAGGAAGATGCGTGCGTCGTGTGTTGTGGTAGGACAACAACCACACTGCCATTGTTACACATGCAGAGCTCAGAGGAATCAGGATGCGCGCAGAAGTTGAACAATCCAGGTACTTACAGTAAGACATTGCGACTACCTCTGAACCTTGTGATGTCACACAAACATCATGAAAAAACACATGTGCACAAACCCGAATGCAAACACGTGCTCGAAAACAATGGCCCAAACATTTGGACACCCTTGTAGGAGACACTATTGTAGAACGCTCTTGTGGGACACTCTCGTGCGACACTTTCGTCACTCTGTGGGACACTCTTGTAGGACACTCTTGCTGGAAACATTTGCGGGACACTCTTGTAGGACGCATTCTTGTCGGACACCCTTGAGGGACACTCTTGTGGAACGCTCTTCTATGACACTCACTCTTGTGGGGCACTCTTGTAGGACATTCTTGTCGGACACTCTTGTGGAACACTCTTGTGGGACACTCTTGCCACAAACTCTTGTGGACTCTTGCGCAACAACCTTGTGGGACACTCACGTCACGTACTCAGATTTGGCCACATCACTTGACAGTCCTGAGGCCACAGCTCCAGAAGCTGCTTCCCGCATTACATGTGTTGCCAGTTCTGAGGCCACAGCTTTCGGAAACTGCTTTCTGCACCACATTTGTACTACCAAGTGGCCAGTTGAGGCCACATGCTTCCCACTTTGCATGTGCGCTACAAGTTGCCACTTGGACACTCTTGTGGACACTATGACACTCTTGTGAGACACTGTTATGAAAACACTCTTGCGGGACACAGTCCTTGGACACTCTTGGCGGACACCCTCGTCGGATATTCTTGCGGGACACTGTTGTGGGACACTCTTGTAAGACACTTCTATCCGACACTCTTGTGGGACACCCTTGCAGGACACTCTGGTGGGACACTCTTGCGCGATACCCTTGTATGCCACTCTTGTAGGACACTCTTGTGGGGACACTCTTGCGGAAAAGCCTTGCGGGACGTTTGTCGGACACTCTTGTGGGACACTCACGTACGACGCTCTTGTGGTACACTCTTGTGCCACACTCTTGCAAGGCACTCTTGTACGACACTCTTGCGAGAAACTTTTGTGGGACACTCTTGTAGGACGTATTCTTGTCGGATTGTGGGACTCTCTTGTAGGACACTCTTGTTGGACACCCTCGTCGGACATTCTTGTGGGGCACTCTTGTCGGACACTCTTGCGGAACACGCTTGTGGGACACTTTTGTGGGACACCCATGTAGGACACTCTTGTAGGACACTCTTGTGGGACACTCATGCGCGATACCCTTGTATGCCACTCTGGTGGGACATTCTGGTAGGACGCTCTTGTCAGACACTCTTCTGGGACACCCTCGTCGGGCACTCATGTAGGACACTCTTGCGGGACACTCTTGTATGACACTCTTGTCAGACACTCTTGCGGGACACCCTTGTAGGACACTCTTGTAGGACGCTCTTGTCGGACACTCTTCTGGAACACTCTTATAGGACACTCTTGTCCTACACTCTTGTACGCCACTCTTGTAGGACACCCTCATCTCATGGACACTCTTGTGGGGCACTCTTGCCCGACATTCTTGTCGAACACTCTTGTGGGACACTCTTTTAGGGCACTCTTGTGGGACACTCTCGCGGAACACTCTTGTAAGACACTCTTATAGGGCTCTGTAGGACACTCTAGTGGGACACTCTTAGGGGATGCGCCTGTACGAAATCCTGCACCTGCCACTCAAAATGCATTTCCACACCTCAAAGCCCGCACAAAGTACTGCGCCTGCCACGAAAAGTGTCAAAATAATCATATCTTCGGAGCTTCAGCAAAATTTGCACCACGCCGCACGTTTGGACTGATTTCGACACATTCTGAGGACACTCCAGTCACGAAAGCACAGCCTGCAGCGCAAATCCCAATGTCACAGCCACATCCAACACCCCAAAAACACCACCCTCCAAACGCCAATCCCAATGTGACTGGGAAGAAAACTGCTCATCTCATAAAACGCTGCACCTGCGGAGTGAAATCATCCTCCACACTTCATCCTCTCACGTTTCCACACGCTTCCTCGCTATTTCACAGGAATCTGTCATGCTTCCATCCAAAACCCTCTCCAAAAGCATTGCCCAATGTCAGCGGCATAGCGCCCTACCGCGAAAAACGTTTGCGAACGCTACGACAACAAGTCGCGAACAAGACTCTACCTCCACACCCCAGACTTAAACAAGAACCCTTCGCTACGCATTCGGGAAAAAAGAGACCAGGCACAGATCCAGAGCTCGTCCGCCCAACATACCAAAGATCTTGTGGATAGACCCGTTTCTTGCAACCCAGAAATTGCACAGCTGCAGCCCACATCTCCATACCAAAGAAAACCTCAGCCCTCAACGTATTGCACCCACAAAGTAATTGAATTCCATATCTTTGTGACTCTGTTTTCTGTTGGTCTTTAAGCTTCAGGAACAACTCCGAAAGCCAGAAAATGCCAGACTGGACCCTCTTCACCCAAAAATCCCTGTCGACAAAAATCATCAACACCTCTTGGGGGTCGTCTTTTTCGTGCGTTCCACCCCCCCAGGCTGCCCGACGTCGTCAAACGTTGACATGCTAGAATCCACTTAGCCTCGGAGGGTGAGCCACTTCTGCATGATCCACGCAACAAAAGCCCTTCAAAGCACCTCCATTTGGGAGTGGACGCCACCATCAAAGCTGCGTTCCTTAAATCCCTCCAACCTACCTCCAACAACGGTAAAAAAGCACAGAGCAACATCTGACCAATCAAGGACTTCCACCGGGCCAATCAAATCACCCGTGTCGGAGCGGGATTCGCGGGATTCTCTTTCTGTATGCTGTTGGTTTTCTAAATATATTTTAAGACCACAAGAGTCATCACTCGTCTACTCCTGCAGCATTAGCAGCACGGGTTCAATGAGGAGAGTGGTTGTGCCGTTTGTCACGCTGCGGAGCCGTGAGACATCCGCGGTTCAGTTCGATGCTTTTCATGACTCGGACCACACGGATCGGAGCCCAACTCGGAGCCCAACTGCCAAAACAATTTGGGAGGTGGCAACCTGTCGTAGATGGATGGTGGTTGGTTTTTCTCCGATGTTTCTCCACACAAAGAGACATCTTGGTACCACTTGGAGTACCCGAATGACTCTGTGACTCTCGATGTTCTTTTTCAGACGTTCTTAGTGATCACCTCCGCATGAATTGAGTCCGGTCTCTCATGAGCTGACCGCCAGCCTAGCGATCGATTTGGAGCACGACCCGGCTGAAACCTGCGACTTCTTCGCTTGAGCAAAATGCTGGGGCGCAGGTCGTAGAACAAGACATGCGAAGGATGTCCGATGCAAGTGGAGATGCGCTAAGGAATGAGGATTTAAGGATGTCCAAAGTGGCAATCAAAACCCTCTGGTTGAAGCTTGATCTCTATCAACTTGGCAGTCACAGCCTTCAGGCCTGCACACAAACAGTCAAGAAAAGCGTGCCAGAAAGCAGTTGGACATGGTTTAACATGAAAGCACTCAAAGTCCAAAAGAATTTAGCGTTGGGGACGCGTGGGCTGCTGTGAGATACTATCGCCGTCAAGGCTTGATGGAAAACAACTGAACAAGGCTCCAATTAAGCCTCGTTTTCTCTATTGTGGCACTGACTTGGCCTGTTTGCATTGATTTGGTAACACATTGCCTCGGATTCGCGTGTGGGTGCGTGGCCTAGAATCGTCTGGCACTGTGCCACCTGACAACCTGGATGTCCCAACCGCAAGTGACGGAGTGATGTCTCCTTGTGACCCAGCTTGACACATGGCCCTACCGGCAAAGGAGGGAGCAATCGGACCAGGGACTCTTAGCGATCCACAAGGGAAAGAAAGGAAGAACGGCGACATAGGAACCAATGGAGATGAAGATTGTCACTTTCACTTGTATTATTCTTCTCGTGAAGATTGTCAATACACATTGCGAAAATTCTGCGATGGGGAACCAATATGAACCAATGAAAAGAGAGCCAAGAAAAAAGCACCCTAAGTACTGCTAGAAAGATAAGAAAGCAGAACCCGAAAAAACACGTTGAACGTGTAAGTTGGAGGAAAAGTGAATTGCTATGCCCACACACCATACCGATAAAAAAACGCAAGTCAGCAGCAAGCAAGGCAAATGTTCTAAGTGGAATAGTAGTCGTATGTCGTCTCAGCATGTCTGAGCAAACCAGTGCGGCAAGAGTGGCAAGAGCAGCTCGGAAGAGTGTTTGGCAACACACTGGCTGGAAAAGCAGCCCGCTTCTCGGCCGCTTCTTAATTTTGAGCCTCAGAAAACCTAAAGCTTCTGCCTAGGCATGCTAGATGCGCTGGAGGTAGCTTCACGGTGATTGGGAAACACGACTTGGCCAGTTTCGGATGGATTACTTAGACGCGTTGTAATTGTAGCAAAAGACACTGGTAGCATACCTGTTTGTAGGAGCAAGGGAGCATGGATTGGCGTAGGTCCGTATAGCGAGAACACAAAAACAAAAGAACAAAACTAATTGACAAGGTGATAATGGCGTGAACACATTCAGTCTGTTGTGGTGAGCCTGAAGAGCCTCACAGCCTGTCTACAGAATCGGCGATCAGACTGGTGGTGCTTCTCGTTTCAGACCGTCCAAGCTCTGCGCGTCTGACCGAGCTCTGCGCGTTTGCTTGGCAGGTCGCACTTGTTCATGTCGCAAATGTCGACAAAAGTATCCGAAAAAAGATCAACTGCAGTCCGAATAGAAATTTAACATCCCGTTTTTGTTGCAAGGAGTTTTTTTAAATGTTCTTTGTGTTTTTTTCGCCCGGCCTTTTATTGCAAGACAACACAGCCGTAGTCCAAACCATTTCTTCGATTCCTGTAGCCTTTGGCTGACAGGGGGGAAAATCAGTCCCACACGGGGCCTGCGATCAATCTCATTCGTCCGCCGCTCAGAACGCGGCGAACTATGCCTCGGTAAACGTTGGGGAGGACGGGTAACTAGCCTTTCTTGGCGAGGGTGGATGATCTGGTACAGGTGATATAGCATAGTGATTCAGTGATTGAACCATATATTGTATGCAAACACACTTCAATCCATGGAATTAGACAATACATGAATATGCGAATCCTTGGATTGACCTTCAATCGACCGTCTGAGGCCTATCAAACCATGATAAACCATGTGTTTCGGTAGTTTAACTCATCCCCTAGCTAATCCAAAGCTGAGCCGCCTGATTCCTGGACTCCTCCCAACAAAAGCTGCGTGCAGCATGCATCTATACTTTGGCTGCCTTCTTGGCCTTTGTAACATATCCCATGTTCCGAATATTGGTAGCTCAAAACGCTCCAGAATGTACTGGTAGCTCCGACATTGCAAAGAATGATTCTCCAGCTACGTGACGTTCCACGTGTCGCCGACGTTCACGTGTCGCCCAAACGGTCGGGTCCTTCATGAGGATGCTTCCTGCCTGTGGTAGCGCCTGGCGCTTCTTTACTCGCAGCCTCGGCAGATCACATCGTGGACCTCTCAGGCGACAACGTCGGACACTCGGAAGGATGGACCTGACGTGAACACCATGCGTTTAGCGAGGGCTTTAGACCATTCTCCGCCTCAAAAAAATATGGCCAATCACATTGACACACACCAAAACCCTCCAAAACCCTTGCTAACCTACCATGAAAAGGATGACTGATCAATCTGACCATGCATTTGCTCGGTCGCGTCGCATGGTCTTCGTCGCATGGTCTGTCCGGTTTGAGTCCCTGAGGTCGGAACACGGTAGGCCTTTCCCTGCGAACCGGGCACAGTTGGACAGAACTTGGATCGAAATGGAAATAGGTCCACCGAACAGCAAAATGGTCAAAGAAATGGAGAGAAACAGTTCAGTGGGATGAAGAATCAATGTGAAAAGAGTGCAACAAAAAAAGGAATGTTAAAGACCTCCAACTGGTGGACAGCATCTCTTCTTTCTTTTTGGAGTATGATCGGCATGATTGACTATGATTCCGAAGATCGACATCCCAAGAGCAGTCGACGCCTGGAGGCCGCCGTGGCAGATCGGTGATCGGACCTGGGGTACGGACGTGTAGGACACGCGCACGTAACGAGAGCAAAGCTGCAGTCCGCAACTGTTGTGGAGAAAACTTGAATTTTTAAGAATTGAAGGGTGGTTGAACACATGCAGCCTCACAGAAGGTGATGCAAAATCCGACACAGCATGAAATGATTCAGCAGCACTGGCATGACAAAAGTATTCCACAGCCTGAGAAATCAACCACATCTATCATTCAACATGCAGGGGCAGTTGCTGCTTGATGAGTGCAATGCAGCAGAATATGAGACCCCCCAACATACGAAACATACCTGTAATTGTTAACTTCAACGAAGAACCCAAATCCACTACGTATGAACATGCTACCAAACAAATATCTCGACAATACGTTTGATCGTTTGATCATAAGTAATGAACACCGTTTGACAAGAAACTGCGTGATATCCCGATGTCCCGGTTCCTGATTCTCCGATGAATGGATTGAATAGCAGAGGGTCAGGAACAAAAGCTTTATCATGACCAAAGAGCATCTACGTCCATTGTAATATAAGTATATACAATGCAAACAAATGCACTAGACTAATTTAGCATCACCAGCACCATATGTGACTCCCAACACTGTTGGAATGATGCCTTTCCTAAAAACCTATGCTTTAAACACAAAATTACCCATCCAGTGCATCCAGACTCAGATACCACCTTCATGAAAAAAAACGCAACTGTTGTGATATGAATTCCTCCATCTCTGCGGTAACAATGTGGAAACATGGAGCGTTTCGCAAAACCCCGAGGCGCTTGACCGGCTTGACCGGCTATGCTCAACAACACGAGGACTGCTGAGTCTGCAGTGAGTCTGCAGTGAGTCTGCACTCCCTTCGCAGCAACCATCCGGTGAAGGGATTTCTTGGTTCGGAGTTTTTAGACCCCTTTCAGTTCAGATTCTTACTCAAGTATGGGATCTGATGACATTGGGTGTGGAACTGGTTCCTGGACCGTTCCTGGCTCATTAAGAAGCTGCGTCATCTGAGAGCTGTGCTCAAACTAACTCTAGAAAGTTGAGACGAGACACCCAGAAGCCACAGTCAGACCAGATTCCTTGAAAGAGGTAGCCCTAGCATTTTAGATAATGACATTATCACTTCTGTCCTTATCTTTTACAACTTCCCAGAACTGATCTGAGCCTCCTGCGGTTTTGATGACTGTCCAGATGCAGCAGGTGTCCGAGCCTGCGATGATGGTGTTGTATGGATATGTCTTGGATACCCTCCCCAAAGCCCACGTCTAAAAGAAGAAAACATATAACTGAACAACAACCTGTGACAACCGTGTCAGAGTGTGCCAATAGAACATCGGGTTGATTCCGGAAACTCCAAGTCTGATGTACACAGTGCAAAACCTCAAGTGAGTATTGTTCACAATCGACAGTGACAGGTGCACTGCTGTTTTCGCAGTCGGATGTCTGCCCCAGCGTCTTCACAAACAGTTCAATACATTCAACACACACAAAAAAAAAAACTGGGAAGAAACAAAAAGAGTTCAAATATTCTGCCATGTCTGTGGCATCGCCAAGTCGCTGCTGCTTTCGAAGCTTTCGCTGAAAAGCTTCGACTGTGTTGCCAGCCATCCTGGGAAATTTGCTTCAAGGGTGGATTCCCAACATCACGTGGATGTCAACGAACATGCTCTATTTTGCACTCTAAAGAGGTGCACATTGATGCGCTGGTCGTTACATTATAAAGCTTACGCAAGCGAAAACGAAGCTGCAAAAACACTGCAAGTTACGACAAGCATATTTTTGGAACAGCGGGCGGGAATGGCATAGGATTTTTCTTGGCGTACAAAACACCCACACTTAGCAGCTTGATGAGGTAGGACCGCCTTCTTGACTTTTCATGAATGGAAAAGCTATCCCAAAACCACAAATTATTATCTACGACTCAATGTGATCGGGTGTGTTTTAGAGTAGGCAAACTCCCATGTCAACCCGTTGGCGCAGGAAATATAGTTATTGTTGTTCAATTCATCGCTCAGGGTCTCTCATTTCGACACACACACACACATGTACATCCAATCCTTTCAGCAAATTTGCGACATCCCGTTGGTTGGCAGAGCCCACATCTGCTCTGCTGCTGAGACTCCAGAAGCTGTCGCACTTGGCCCATGTCCAATTGTCCATGGTTGCACGGCACCTGGAAAAGGGAAGCAACATGGAAAGACTCAGATCACTCATGCCTCGCATCAAATTAGGATATGAAAACATCAAGTGCTCATCAGCCAGACTGAAGGAACCTCTTGATCAAACATTCTTGAGAGACACATTTTTTACATGTCCTAAATTCCAACATTCAAAGGACCACAAAGGAGACCTGTAGAGCGCTTATGGCTGGTAGGTGCTTGGCCACCGAGCTTGGTAGGCTTTTTTCGGTCCCAAGCGACGATCCCGAATTCGAAAATCGAGAGTTAGTGATGTGAAATTGAAATCTACAGGAGACCCATAGTTTTGAGCAGTGAACACCTGTAGAATCCTAGAATCCTGTATAGATGTTCCTTTGAATCCATTGGAATTCGGGCACCTTCTGTATGTCATCCAAGAGAAGCTGAATCCAAGGAGAGGCAGAATCACCCAGTTGCCGCAGCTGCGCTCGTCTCCATGCCTCGCAAATCTGCCTTAGCAGAAGCCGCAGTGTTGCGATGTCCCATGTGCAGAGAATGCTCGAATTTCTATAGTGAATCTTGGCCATTCATGTTTATTTGAGCGGTGTCAAAAACCATCCGGAACTTTCATTAAGACTGTAAAAACCATTCGCCAATCCCTTCACAACGCTTTCGCGGCTGCGACCCCAAAAACCTCTAACCCTTTCGCCGAGTTTCTGCTACTTACACCTAAGAAAAGTAACCTGTTGCCTGGAATCTTTGGGGCTTTGGAACAAACATTTAGATGACATGCTTTGCACTGGAAACCTCCTTCGCCAACCCTTTCGCGACAACACCCATTTATCAAAAATTTAGAGCCTTTCTCCAAACCTTTCGCCCAGCTTGCCCCAACTGCGGCTTTCCTTTCGCAAAGAGTCATAATCTTAAGTCCTAGCTAAATTCTTTCATAGAGGCTTATGACGTTGCTCATTTGCACATTGAATAACAGCACCTACCTCTGTACCTGGCAACCAGATTCAACAAAAAAAAACATCCAGCCCATCTTTGCCTTTCTTCACACAGTTTAGAGGCATCCCCAAAAACATCGCAGGCATCTCTAACCTCTACGGGATGTTCGCAAAAGTTAGTGCGTTCAACACTAATAGTGTTTTGGTATTGGATGCATGTTATATATATATATATATACAAACATAAGAACCGGTAGAAGCTGCAGGTTGATCACATGGAGCGCTTGGCCCTCAAGGGTGCCGCCTTATCCTGCCTAAAGGATGCCTGGAGCTGAAAACAGCCATGAGAAATGAAAAGGCCAGCGACAAAAGAGACCAGCTACAAAGAGACCCTCGTAGAGGTGCTCCCGGACTCCGCGAATGGGACAGGAATGCCCTCTGCTTCAACTCATTTACATCAAGCAGTGTGCCCCCCCCAAACTCATCCGTCACATCACAACGTCCGCCCAGCTACGCCATCTCAGGCTTCAAGTCCACACCGGGGCGTGCCCAGCTGTCCGAGAAGAGTGAATCCAAGTCTTGGAAGAGAGACTCCGCGCCGCAGCCCACCTGCGGAGTAGGTCGATGTTCCCCGACCAGGTCAGGCCCCAACATGACGGAAGAAGACCAGCCACCAGGTCCGCTAGGTCTCGGGTTTTGCCAGGTCGTTTTCGCGATCTGAAAAACCAAATGGTGTGTTTGTGTGTCGTGAGCCCTAGCAGCCGAGCAGGAAGGGATTGAACTTATTAAACAGGCTGACGCCTGCACGTACCTGTCTATGTTTTAAGAATTTTTGCTTGCGCCGCCCTATGTAGTTGTATGCCAAGAACAAACCCATATATATATATATATATATAATCAAATGTCAAAAGAACTCTCAATGGGCAAAACCAGGCCTTTTGCTTCCAATGATTCGAGGTATCTTTTGGCTGCTCAACCTCTACTACATTAGTCTGTGGGCCTGAGTCAACGTCAGAAAAGAAGCTGAGTAAGTGGTTTAAACAAGCACATTGGAACACGTCTCACGCGCGTCAGAAATGCCACCAGATAGGGACCAAGCTCTTCTTTGGCATCATACCACCTTTCTTTTCCGCGCTCTTTCTTGACACCTGAGAAAGCACCCTGCTAAAGGCAGCTGCTTTCGATGTGCTTGTTGCCAGATGTTGCCAGCCTGATGCGTCTTGCTTGTTGATATGCCAATCGGTGCACCACAATGCAAGCGCCACCCATCCTTGCAAGCAGAACATGCGAAGTATGAGCAAGTCTACACAAACTATACACACAGAAGAATTCTGGCGAGGATCAGCTATCTGTGGCTGCAATTTCCAAATGTTGGCCTCCCCTTGTATACGGCCATCAGCTGTCCCTGCTTCTGATTGAACCACCTGCATGGCGAAGAAGCTTTCCAAGTCTCCCACAAAAATCTTGATGCAGAATGTGGCCGAAACAGGACAGCCACACCTTCTGAAGCTCATCCAACAGACTTTGCAGCCATATGTCCATCTGTGGTGACTGAACCTCCTCACTGCTGAGCTGCTTCTGCTTCCACTTGTCACATATGGACCTAGGCAAACAAAATGACTTGGAAACTAGAAGCTATGCAGTAAGTCAAGCTTTATTGATATAAACCTGATCTGGGGCACGCAATCTCAGGTTGAAGATCCACACCAGGACGTGCCCAGCTGTCAAAGAAAAGGGCATCCAGATCCCGGAACAAAGAATCTGCATCACCCAACACCTGCCAAGGATGCCAGCATTGAGCCAGTATTGATGCTACTGAAACGCACCTCGCATTCAGTCTGCCGTGCTGCAACCCCCTGCCTTCTGCTTCCAATGATCTGAGGCTTCATGTGCGGGCCTTTGAACCTCTGGCATGTCAGTCTGTGGGCCTGAGTCAACGTGAAAGAGAAGCTGAGTGTCTAGAGTAGCACCAGATAGGGACCAAGCTCTTCTTTGGCATCATATCACCTTTCTTTTCCGCGCTCTTTCTTGACACCTGGGAAAGCACTCCGCTAAAGGCAGCTTCTTTGGATGTGTTTGTTGCCAGATGTTGCCAGCCTGATGCGTCTTGCTTGTTGATATGCTAATCGGTGCACCACAATGCAAGCGCCACCCATCCTTGCAAGCAGAACATGCGAAGTATGAGCAAGTCTACACAAACTATACACACAGAAGAATTCTGGCGAGGATCAGCTATCTGTGGCTGCAATTTCCAAATGTTGGCCTCCCCTTGTATACGGCCATCAGCTGTCCCTGCTTCTGATTGAACCACCTGCATGGCGAAGAAGCTTTCCAAGTCTCCCACAAAAATCTTGATGCAGAATGTGGCCAAAACAGGACAGCCACACCTTCTGAAGCTCATCCAACAGACTTTGAAGCCATATGTCCATCTGTGGTGACTGAACCTCCTCACTGCTGAGCTG